GTGCAATATTAATGATATTGTTCGATAATTTCCACATTCTGTGGGATCATCTTTCTTTGGAATGGGTACAAATATGGATCTCTTTCAGTCAATTGGCCAGGTAGCTGTCTTCCAAATCTCTTGGCATAACCAAGTGAGTGCCTCCAGTGGGGCATCCATTTGTTGAAATATCTCAATGGGTATTCCATCAATCCAAGGAGCCTTGTTCTTTGCTAATTCCTTCATTGCAGCTTCGACTTCCTCCTTCAATACCATTGGTTCTAGATCATATGCCACTTCCTGAAATGGATGAAGATCGACTGGTTCTTTTTGGTACAGTGACTCTGTGTGTTCATTCCATCTTCTTTTGATGCTTCCCACATCATTTAATATTTTGCCCATAGAATCTCTCAATATTGCAACTCCAGGCTTAAATTGTTTCTTCAATTCTTTCAGCGTGAGAAATGCCGAGCATGTTCTTCCCTTTTGTTTTTCTAACTCAGGTCTTTGCACATTTCATTATAGTAATTGGCTTTGTCTTCTCAAGCTGCTCTTTTAAATCTTTGGTTCAGCTCTTTTATCTTGTCATTTCTTCCATTTGCTTTAGCTGCTCTCCACTCAAGGGCAAGTTTCAAAGTCTCTTCTGTCATCCGTTTTGGTCTTTTCTTCTGTTCTCATCTTTTTAGTGACCTCTTGCTTTCTTCATGGATGATGTACTTAATGTCATACCACAATTCTGGTTTTAGGTCATTGGTGTTCAATGCAGCAAATCTATTCTTTAGATGGTCTCTAAATTCAGGAGGAATATATTCAAGATCATATTTTGACTCCCGTGGACTTGTTTTAATTGTCTTTAACTTCAAGTTGAACTTGCGTATGAGCAGTTGATGGTCTTTTCCACAATCAGCTCCTGGCCTGGTTTTGGCTGAAGATATTGAGCTTTTCCATCACCTCTTGCCACAGATGTAGTCAATCTGATTCCTGTGTGTTCCATCAGTGAAGTCCACATGTATAACCACCGTATGTGTTGTTGAAAAAAGGTGTTTGCAATAAATAAGTCGTTGGTCTTGCAAAATTCTACAAAATTAGTTGGCTATTATTATCTCCACTTTACGATTGAGCAAACTGGAACACAGCAGATTTTAGAAACTCAGAGGTAGAGCTAAATTGTTTTCTAAGCCTGGATCCTGACCATGACACTTGAAAATATGTTTATGATACTGAATCTTCTAAAAATTTTTTTGAAGAATATTTGAAATGTCCCAATAATGCTGCATAATATTAACAGCTAGTTTATGCTACACTAGGCATTATTCATTCATTTCATCATTAAATCCTTTCAGCAACTGCACAAGACAAAAACAAACAAACAAAAAGAAAAAACAAATTCACCGCTGTCAAGTGAGATAGTCATTATTATTATCCCCATTATACAGGTAAAGGAATCAGGATTAGAGGAATTAAACAGCCCAACTAGTAAGCAGTACTGTTAAGGATTAGAAGTGTGATTTCAGAGACTACACTATTAACCACAAAGCCATAGACTACAAATTTGGTTTGCTATCATCATCCAATTGTTACCCAACTTCATCTGTCAACTGATGATAGGAATTCTTAATAGTTTCACTGTAAGACTTTGATCCAGAGAAAATGTAAATGACTAAGGATGTGTGCTGGATTGAGCCTTATTCAAGGGGTTTTGAACCTCTTGTACCTGGCCCAGAAAAATGGAAAGTAAGTATTATGGTTCCCAGTAACCCCTCCCAACTCCCAGTTAAAGGCCTACCCTTCCTAACTGGGCCATAGAAGCTCATTCTATTACAAGGATATACTAAATCTCCACCAAGTAGAAATTTAATGGTTCTACTTGGATAAAACTTCAAAGAATAATCATGCTTTATTTCTAATCACAGACTGGTTTTAGATCTATGATCACATACAAGTATCTACTTACTCTTTCAATCTTCAGTAAATAGTCCCTCACAGCATGGGATATTAGGATTATTATTCTAAGTCCAAATGGAATCATCAAAACCTTCTGACCTCCTTTTTTGGAAGATGGGTTATTTCTTTTAGGGTTTACCATTAATTTGTTCTTTTCATCCCCTTTCTCAATCCCTTCACCAACAT